GGGTCTCTGCCTCCGCCTCCGGGGAGGACGGGAGCCCCGCGTGGTGGACACTGCAGCAGTCACTGTGCTGAGGCGCCGGGAGACTTCTGCCTGCAGCTGGGTGCGCTCTCGGCACCCGGGCGTCTTGCCCAGGGCACAGCGGCTGGCGCACCGCGGCGAGCCGGGTGCAGGACTGGCTAGAGGGGTGTGTTCGCGCGTGTTGGACTGGAGAGCCGAGCTAAAGCAGAACCAGGTGGACCTGAGCAGCCATGCTTCCCGGGGTGGGCGTGTTCGGCACCAGCCTCACCGCCCGAGTCATCATCCCACTGCTGAAAGACGAGGGCTTCGCGGTGAAGGCGCTGTGGGGCCGCACGCAGGAGGAAGCGGAGGAGCTGGCCAAGGAGATGAGCGTTCCCTTCTACACGAGTCGCATTGACGAGGTGCTGCTGCATCAGGATGTGGACTTAGTGTGCATCAACCTGCCACCGCCCCTCACCAGGCAGATCGCCGTCAAAACCCTGGGTGAGCGTCCCCTCCCCCACCTCCTCTCCAGCCTCCTCTCCTTGCCTTTCCCGCTGCCATTCGCCTGTCCCTCTCTTCCTCCCAGAAGCTTCCATGGCATGTACACTGACCCGGGGACCCGAGATCCCACATTCCACCCGGAGCGCACTCTTCCCTCGTCCCTGGCCCTCCCTCCTTCTGCGCTTCCCTCCTCCCTTCTGGCTCCACCTGGACGCGCTTCACCACGTGCGCGGCGCGGAGGTTGGAGGAGGCGTGTGTTCCGGGGATGCGGTGAGGCGGGTCAGACGTTGAGGACTGTGGATGGCTGAGCGAGAGAAAACTAAGTGCCCAGCTCTCCGTGTAGTGCCCAAGCGTGTGCGTGCGCGCGTCTCAGAGGCGAGTGCGCGCTCAGGAGCGCCTGAATAAAGGGCTCCGCGCGCGGCTCAGGTTTTCCTGGAGGCTGCAGACCTGCCGTTTAGCAGCCGTGGCGCCCTGCTAGAGTACTGCGTTACTTTCCGCTATGAGTTAGCTTAGTGTGAAATGAGACTTGTGACAATCAGCTCTAATTATCTCGTGTTCGCTGAAATCAAGGCTAGCTGGAGTGGTTGGATGCTCGGGGTTGGGGGGATCTATTGGGACGCCTTCAGGTTTCAGGGAGGTTCCTAGGTTAGTAAAGACTGGTTGGAGAAAACCAGAGAGTTTTAACTCTGATTAACTCTATTCGAGTGCAGCAGCCCAGGAATAGTCTTCTGCGCAGATTGTGAGTCACAGATCTTCAATTTTTAGGGCATGGGCGCAGTAGTTCCAGGGGCACAGATGCTTTGTGTGGGAAAAGGCCCAACGCCGCTGCCGGTTTCACTTGGAAGCAAGCAGTAGTTCCTGCTGAATTCCCGTCAGGACTAGTTCTCAGGCCTGGTGTTGACAAGTGGGCTCACCACCCCTCACCATCAGGTCCCTCCACCTACCTAGGCAGTCTGAGCAGTCTCAGAGTAGGGTACCAGCGTGTCTGCCATGCCCAGCGGAAGAACTGCGTGTTTTGCCCGTCAGCAATTCTCACGCATACCTAAGACAATCCCAGGAAGATTGCTCGCTCCTTACTCTCCCAAGAAAAACTGTTGGAATTTTATTGGCAAGGAAAGAGACAAAGCAAAGGATGCCACATTAGAGAAAAATACCAAGGGAAGATTTGGGAAGGAACAGGGATGGCACCCAGAAACTAATATAACATATGGGTTGGGTAGAAACTAATAATGGTAATTTATGTACTCTTGGACAGAATGTTTTATTTTTAAAAACAGGTGTGAATTTCGGGTAGGTGAAATGTATATATATTTTAATTTTATCTTCGGAGACTTATGACCAGAATGTAGAACCCTCCCTAAAAAACCATTCTTATCAGGCCATTCTGCTATTGACTCAGACGGGACATCTGATATAATAGGCTGCCCAAGGCTGTCAGTTTTCAGGTTAATTTTATTAAGCTCCTGACCTTTGTTGCCTGGTTTCTTTGACCTTGAATTGAATGTCACTGGATTCTGGCTAATATTTCTTTTCTGTTTCATATAACATATGGGTTGGGTAGTTAACTTATGTGTTTACAGTGGATCCGTGCATATTAAGTAGATTATAGCCATCCTATGATATAAATCTATTAGGGCAATTTGTATAAACCGGGTCCATGTTGAGCCCCATGCCTACTAGAGGGCATATGACTGGTCACATCAGGAAGATCTCTTTTGACATCACTTCTCCCTCTGGGGCAGCACAGGCCTGCAGGTCAGACCCTTAGAGCAACCCTAGAGCATGTCTCCAGGAGAGGCGATTTGGGGAACAAGGATGTTCCTGTTTTCTGCCATCACTGGTACTTTAGTCATGAAAGTATTTGGGGGCACTGGCTTCAAGAGAAGCACAAATTATATATTTCTGGATACTTTTTATTTTCAAAAATTCCTATGATTTTTTTTTTTTTTTCGTTTGACAAGACCAATGTGAGGTACCTCTTCAAAACTGAGCATAAGAGCATATGAAATAGACTTAGTTTAATACTCACAACTTAAGGAATAGGGTTTTGTTCATGTCTTCATGGTAGGTCTTGGGCCTTTTTTTTTTTAATTCCTGATTTTGCAGATAATTTGAAGTCGTCTGTGATTATAGAAAACATGGGGGCATTGCATTTAGAGGGGGCTGGAGTTTAATCTCGTTCCAGACTTCATCTTCACTGGAAATTCCCTGGCGGTCACTCTCCTTCGAGTTGTGCGTGTGAATACACGGCCGGGTGGTCACGGTGAGAGGCTTGACACACGCAACAGAGGAAGTGAAAAACCCCAAAAAGTTATTGGGATGGTCTGGCCGTTGGGGATTTGTAGATGCTAGTGTTTGCCTGGAATTGAAACAAGCTAATCTTGACTAGTTCTGGTGAATTGTCCAGTTTAGCAAAAGTCAGGGTTGTGAGTTGCTTGCCCAGCAATGGTGAGAGATCTGTGGTCCCAGATCCATAGTTGTAACTGTCAAGGAAAGGGGTTGGTCTAGGGACCCTAGAGGAATGAAGTTTGGAATCAATTGAATAACAACATTCTTTACTTTTTAAAAATTTCCTTGAAATCCCTGCCTTAGCGAAGTAGGCATTTCTCTGTTGTAGAGCGTTTTCATAATGTATAATTTCTATCCTGTCCAGGGCTGCCTCTTGTTAAGTGCCTACTATGGGCCAGGCAATGTAGTAGGTCCTGTATATAAAAGGTTTCATTTCATGACTAAAATAATCCTCTCAGATAGATCTTAGCTCCATTTTTTCAAATGAAACAACTAAAATACAGAGATTTGAGTCAAACGGCTCAAGTACATACACCTAGAGAGCTGAACCCATCATTCTGCTTCCCCTGTAACTATTTGTTCCTCTCCTGCCCCTGTACTTGCTTCATTGCCTCAGTTTCTTCTCTCAGATAATGGCAGCCCAGGTGAGATTGTTGGAGTCATCCTTTATTCCTGTTTACCGCCCCCCGTCCCTACAACCCCCAACCCCCACCATGGAATCAGTTCCCAAATCCTTGATGCCAAGTCCTTAATCCCTCTTGTCTCTGTTCCCTCTTCTGCATCATTGCTTCTTCTGTAAAAGGAACTAGGTCCTTAACTAGCTTCTGAGTTAGGTTCTAGTCATCTCCTCCCCACCCCTGTCTCTCCACTTTCCACCCTCCTGCCAGAATTATCTTGAATAAATGTGGACCTGGCCTGGCCAGGTAGCTCAGTTGGTTAGAGTGTCATCCCAATACGCCAAGGTTGCGGGTTCAATCCTCGGTCAGGGCACATACAAGAATTGTCCAATGAATGCATAAATAAGTGGAACAACAAATTGATGTCTCTCTCTCCTTCCCTCTCTTTCAAAATTAATAAGTAAAAATTAAAAAGGAACTGTGGACCCGATCATGTCACTGCTCCCCCTTTTATTACTTCTGGGAAAAGCCCCAACTTCTTGACACAACAGGCAAGAACTGCTGGTTTTTCTGGAACCCTGTGAACTTATAGCTAAGCCAAAATACTGTACTTCCCTTGAATCGACCCTGTTGGATTACATGTCCATGCCTTTGTCAGGAATATGGTTTCACCTTATGTTGGTGATAGATGCCTGTTCATTCTTCAAGACTCAGCCCAGTGTTACCTGCTCCAGAATTCTCCCCCCTCCTCAGTCCCATCCCCTACTATTCTTCTGTGGTCTCAGCACCATGGGCCCCCATCTTTTCTTGCATCTATTTTAATGCATTGTTTAAATTTTCAATTTTATTTAGTTATTATAAATAGGTTATATATTCACATAATACAAATTTCAGATGCTGTGAAAATATACAGTGAGAAGTATGTGTCCCCCAGTCCCTGTCCTCAACTAGAGGCAGTTTTTATGTCTCCTTTTGAAGGTTTTCAAGGATGCACTGGCAAATATGTGCTTGGGAATTTTAAAATTGTTTTTACACAATTGGTAACATTCCATTATATATACAGATTATATACACACACATATACAAATATATGTAAATAAAAACTCAGAATGTGAAAGTATCCTTGTTTCCATTTTTGGCTGCATAATATTTTATTGTATGGCCGAATCAACGTTTACTTAACCAGTTCCCTGCTACTCAGCATTTAGGTTGTTTCCAGTCTTCTACTTGTACAAACACCCTGATGAATAATCTTAATGAAACAAGCGCCAATCCGCTTGTAGGATAAACACGTGAACTGCTGGTCAAAAAGTGTGCTCATTGCATTTAACAAAGACAGTGCTAAATTAAGTGGCAACTGAGATGACACAGCCATCTGTTGATTTCCGTGTGTGCCTCTCTCCTCAAGCCCCTGACTGTCAGCCGCCTCACCTTTGTAGCCAGAGCTGCGTGGCATGCAGGGCCCAGCACAAGTCCCCAGGCAGTGTTTGCGGTCAGTCAAAACATGTCTGTCTCGGTTTGTCCTGCAGCAGGCCACTCCATCTGACTGCCTCCTTACATTCACTCTTTTCTTAATCAGTTTATTCTCTATACCACAGCTAAACGCATGCATATGTAGGACACAGTGTTATTCCCTGCTCAGAACCTTTCAGTTGCTCCTATGGCACTTGTAACAACCTTCAAGTTCTTTGTTGGACTTACTTGGTCTGAAATGGCCCTGCCTAGTAATATTTCCCACCTTTTCAGCAACTCTGCAGTCTCCCAGGCTCGCTACCCTCCAGGTACTTGGTCTTCTTTTTGTTCCTGGAACACACCAACTGCTTTCCCAGTCCTGGGCCTTTACAGGTGGGCTCGTCCCCATGTCTGGGAGGTTCTCCCTCACTCCTTTGAAGGTTCTCCACATATTCTCACTTTCAAGTTTCAGCTCTAATGTTCTATTGGGAGAGAGGCTCTTCTGGATCCTGCCCTTTCAATCAAAAATCTGTCCCCCTCACCTGTCAGTTATACTTTTGTAATTCTCTTGATCTTGGTGACACTGTCACAGTTTGTGATGATCTCTTGCATTTGTTTTCTTGTTCTCTCATTTGCTCTTTG